CGATCTCGAGAGAGGCTTCCGCTTCGTCCTCCCTCGAACCCCCGGCTCTACCAAGTGGCCAAAGGACGGAGTGAAGTACCTCCCGTTGAGTCGGTCCCTCCCCTTAGCTCCCTTGCGGTCCGGAGCTGGAACCGACGATACGGTGGTTCGGTTCACGTTACGTTCACCCCCTCAGGTTCCATGCATGCGGAACCTCGGACGTAACAGTATCTTAGGTGCTGCAATACGTATGTGCGTCCCATCAACTGCTCCAATTACTTTTGGGAAACCATATAAGTCTTGTACAACATTGAATGTTTTTGTTGCTTCTTCCCTTGTTGGCCATTTTATAACTGTTTCAAGTAAGGAATAAAGGGCATTGACAACTTTCCGAACAGACCTCCATGCTGTTGCTTTGCCAACATCAAAGCGATCACTTACACATCTAAAATAAATAATATAATATCAATATAATAAGAATAAGTCTACGGACCAAGCAAAGTCTTGATGCTGTGTTATTAAAAAACAAACAGTTAATTACAACATATGTTTCCACCGCTGATTATTATCAAACGTTAATGTATCTACAATTTTACTGTCACATAGCGATGAACTTTCACAGTCATACAGTTACAGCAATATATTTGTACAATCACAACGATGAATTTAATTAATATGTTATTAAAATTTGTGGTAGTATATAATCAAGTTATATATATTTCTATAATTTTTATCATTAGAATGATTAGTTAATTTCATTGAAGTTTAATTGTATTATTGTTTTAACATTGAGAATGACCCAATTGAAGTCGAAACGTATGTTGTAATAAACTGTTTGCTTTTTAATAACACAGCATCAAAACCTTGCTTGGCTCGCACAGCCCGATATTATTATATTGATTTTATAAATTATTTGGGCTTTTTTTAAAATATTATTTTTAATAATATAATGTTTGGAATAGTATTTTTTATAATAAAAGATTCCATAGGTTATATATATATTCATTATTAATGTGTATATAGTTATATATAATATTTAATAATTACCTGTAAGAATTAGGTGTTACCATTATCCAAAGAGAGCAATAATTGCTTTTCAGGAGAGATTGTGCGTCTACCTGTATTTGCACTTCTTTCTAGCATTGGCCCTATTAACTCTAATATGAAATAAAAAGTGTTACGATTTAATCTGAAATAAATATAATAAAAATATTTTAGTAATCGTAGAAATATGTACACACATACCATTACATAGAATGAAAAATTATAAAAATATACCGAAAATGACTCTTAAATTGTCTGTCTGTGTATCGAGATACTACATCTTCTATATATCTCTTACATCGTATTCTTCGTATATATTGTCTATCTTTTATTAATAATGTTAAAATTTCTTCTATTTCATCGGAATCACTATCAGACTCATTGGAACTTAAGTCAATGATAATACGTACAATATTAACTGCTGCAGCTATTTCCATATTTTGCTGAAATTATCGATAAAAATTAGTTGGTTATATTTATGTATCAGTTGCACGCAGTACTGGAAGTAACGTTCCGTTACTATCATTTCACAGTATACTGGCAGTACATATACGAAAATGGAATGCTTGCTTCAGCACACTACAGTGACGTCATGCTGCCAGTACTGGCAGTGAGTTACGGAACGCAGCCATGGTTGTATAGACATGGAATCTGCCATACACATATATTATGGCAGATTTCGTGCCCGTACATCGAAATGTATATACAACTGGTTACCAGAAGGTTGTAACACTTTCTTCGATGCATATTGCAACCGTTTTATGATTCGTCACACTGATTGGATTAATTAGCAAGATGAATAATGAAACGGTTGCAAAATTGTTGAATCTGCTGGACACAACCATTTACTCGGTGAGCAATCGGAATTACGAAATACATCGAAGGAAAAGTGTTACAACCTTTTTGTGACAGGTTCTACGTACATTTCGATGTTCATACTCGAAGTCTGGCATAATATATACGTATGGCAGATTCCAGGACATCTTGGAATATTTCATACGCACATATATCTTAAGATATACACGGATAATGGAATGTCTAATGGCAAATTTTTAGACCATCCTGTAGGTTTTGCTAAAAAGATGTTATGTTTTTGTTAATTATGTCCTTCACCCGGAGACCTAGCAGTATACCACTTATCTGCCATTCGCATATTTTATTGCAGATTTCGGATCTGTATATTCAAATGTATATACATTGGGTTGTACAGATTCGGAATTTGCCATACGCACATATTATGGAAGATTTCGTGCCTGGACATCGAAATGTACATACAACCGGTCAACAAAATGTAATACCTTTCTTCGATTTGGGCTTTAAGCTCATAGTATATATTTATGCTGCGTTTACAAGAACCGATATCAACGAAGTTATACTATTGATATGCTAAGTCCTATACACAATATAAGAAGTATTAGGAACAGCAATAAATAGTAAGATTTCTAATTATCAGGTATCAGTTACTTCGGAATTTGCGGTTTCTAATATAAGTTGAAACCTTGATATTTATTCCTGCACCTAATGTTGTGCAAAGAGCTTTACCAGATATGTAAATATGAAACCGGAATTTACCAATAGATGGCCATAGCTATCAATGTAGTTGCCGTCAGACCGCGTCATTGACGCCATTTCCTTATTCTGACATCTGACAAAGATTTTCAACTCACAACAATACAAGTTTCATACAACAGTATAGTTTGTAATAGCGTTGAACATGTCGAATTTTGTGCCTGGAAACTACGATTTGCGGACAGCATTGATTTTCTGTTACCATTTGAAGAAAACTGCTGCAGAATCGCATCGAATGCTTGTCGAAGCTTACGGTGAGCATGCTCTTGGTAAATCACAGAGCTTTGAGTGGTTTAAAAAATTTAAAAGTAGCGATTTTGACGTGAGAAACGAAGAACGTGGAAAACCACCGAAAAAGTTTGAAGACAGCGAATTGCAAGCATTGTTGGATGAGGATAACGCTCAAACTCAACAACAACTCGCGGATTAATTGAATGTGACACGAGAAGCCGTCTCCATATGTTTTAAATCCATGGGAAAGATTCAGAAGATGGGAAAATGGGTTCCACATGAACTGAATGAAAGACAGCAGGAAAACCGAAAAACCACTTGAGCGAAATGCTTCTCGCCAGGTACAAAAGAAAGTCATTTCTCCATCGAATTGTGACTGGCGATGAAAAGTGGATATATTTTGAGAATCCTAAGCGTAAAAGATTATGAGTAACTCCAGGTGAACCATCGACATCGACTGCAAGCCCAAATCGCTATGGACGGAAGACAATGCTCGTGTTTGGTGGGATCAGAAAGGTGTGATCTATTATGAGCTGCTAAAACCTGGCAAAACCGTTAATACTGAACGCTACCGACAACAAATGATCAATTTGAATCAAGCTTTGCGTGAAAAACGACGGGAATATTAAAAAAGGCAACACAAAGTGATTTTGCTTCATGATAATGCACCATCACACACAGCAAAATTGGTCAAGGAAACGATTGAGGCGTTTGGTTGGAAAATACTTTCGCATGCGGCTTACTCACCAGACTTGGCGAGTAATCCGTCCGATTACTACTTATTTGCATCGATGGGACACGCACTTGTTCAGCAGTGCTTCACTTCTTACGAAGATGTACGAAAATGGCTAAATGACTGGTTTAGCTCAAAAGAACAACAATTTTTTTGGCGTGGCATCCACAAATTGTCAGACAGGTGGGAAAAATGTATAGTTAGTGGTGGGCAATACTTCGAATAAAATATTTTTTATCATTTTCATGCAATAAACATGTATTTTCTATTAAAAGATTCTGGTTTCATATTTACATACCTGGTATAACTACATGAAGAAAATTTTATATTTAAAATTAACTCTATAATGTGGTATTAACTGCGGACCATAGTGTAATTATAAGTTTAAATGCAATAATATAAAGTAATTTTTACACTTTTTCATAGCAATTTTTTCATAAAATGTTTCATTACAAAATCAAACTTTGTTGAATAAAAGTTAGTAATGTAAAGATAATAAAAAAGCAAAAACCCTATCAAATATTGCTTTGCCATAATAAAGGACCCCGCACAAAATCATAGGATTTTGGCCCTCGGTTAAATTGGCTGAAATTTTAGTATGTTATAGTTCTTGACCCACTGATCAAAAGTGTCCATAGGCACAAAGCTTGATCATGACTAGTTTTTTTGTTATAGCCGTTTAAAGTTTTATTTTGTTAATGCCTCAAAAAAGCAAGTTTCTGTAATAAATCGAGAGATTTTAGATAACAATATGCTAACCACTCTCACCACCCCCACCCTCACTCCCACCCCTACCCCTATTCCCACACACATATGTCCGCGCGTGCATTTTTATATTATAAAGGTGCATAAAAATCGAAGTTTCATGTGTGTGCGTGCG